AGAAACAGGGTACAAGTTGAGACATTTTTGTATTTGTTATATTTTCTTGTTTCCTACATTTATATTGGAGATATTTTTATATTTGTTTTTCTTGATTATATATGCGGGGGGGAATGGAAGGGAGGGAAGGAAAATTGAGGAGTTGGAAAGTGCCTCTCTCTCTCTCTTTCTCTCTCTCTTTCTCTCTCTCACACACACACACAAATGCACACACATGTATTGTAGAAGGTTATGTAACTTGCCAAGCCCTAGTCCTGGTTCTGGTTAGGGAGGTTGTGTCTTATTAATCATTTTATAATTCACAAAAGATTTCTACAAGTGAAATCAATCACAACAGGATATCTATGCTTATCAGAGTTTATAAACTTTAAAGAAAATATCCAAGCCAATCAAGTTGCATGAAATATCTTGTCCAGGGTCATACTGAAAGATTTCTTCCACTATGCTGCTTATGCCTCTCTATCTTGTAGGCACTTAATGTCGATGTCCTCATTTTATAGCTGAGACAAACAAATTTGAGACGATGATATTATTCCACATGAGAATGATGGGTAATCAAGAGACTAAGGGATTCCCTTTTGCCAACTCAATAAATATGGTCTGATACACCATTCTGCCTCTAAGGTCTGACAGTTGGTTAATTTGGCTTCCCTGTATACTCTTCTTTTCAGATTGAAAAACAAAACAATAGACTAATTCAATTTAACATTCAAGGAGAAGACCAAAAGTTGCAAATTGTTCAACTCTCATTCTAGGGTTCTCCATGCTATTTGATAACCCTATGCATTGTTTATAGATTTATCCCCTACTTGAGAGAATGACCCTCATATTTCCAATGAAGGAAATAAAGCCATTGAATGAAGTATTTTTCTATTGTAAATCCATAATGATAAGATTATACTACAGTCGTTTGCTTAGTGGTCACTGGAGCAAATGACCAAAGTGTAAGGAGCAGCACAGGTAATTGTTTTAAAGTTAGGGGGTGGGGGAGGCCCAATTTTTAAACTTTGGCCAAAGGGCACAAATGCCTTGTCCTACCTCAGTCTCTTACCAACCTACAGTATGCGCTTAGGCCTTTGGATATAAAATTTTAATGTAGTATTTAGTCACTAAATTCCAATTCAATCTTATGACTATTTGTTAAAGACCTACCATATGGAGGCAGCAATAATAGTAGTGGGTAGAGCTGGCCTTGTACTGTGATCCTGGGCAAGTCATTTAACCCCTTAGTGCCCTATGGTGACTCTCTAAGACTGTAAATTGCTTACTTGCCATTGGAGAACAGTAACACCAATGAACTAATGGGTTGAGACTGAAAAACAAATGTGTAATCATTGTAGTAGCTCCTAAGGGTATAAAGACAGAAGGAAAACCTAACTGCCCACAAAAAAAAGCACTAACAATTAGAGGGATCAGAAAATCCTAGACTTAAAGCTAGAAGGATCCTTAGAAGATCATCTAATTCAATGTCCTCATTTTATAGGTGAGGAAATTGAGGCCCAAAGGTGTTAGGACTTACCCAAGGTCATACAAGTAGTAGATAGCAGTTGCTGTCTCATTTTTCTTAACCCCATCAACCGTGGCACTCCAGGCCCTTCTATCCTCCACTATCTCTCAATGTCTGTCCAAATTCATTTTCATTGTTTCCATGACACTATTGATCCATCTCACCCTCTGACATCCCCTTCTCCTTTTGCCTTCAATCTTTCCCAACATCAGGGTCTTTTCTAATGAATCCCATCTTCTCATTATGTGGCCAAAGTATTTCAGCTTCAACGTTAGTATTTGACCTTCCAGAGAATAGCATTGACCAATTTGACCTCCTTGCCCTCTAATAGCAGAGCCAAGATTAAAGCTCAGGTCCTCTGACTCCAAATCAGGTCCTCTTCCTCCAAATCCTCATCCCAATATACCATCCTGCCTTCTTTTTAACAATTGAATTGACTTATACAATGCCTGGAATATAATAGGTGCTTAATAAATGTTTGTTGATTGATTGAAAACTGGGAGGGATATGGAGCTGGAATATTCAGTACTATCAGTGAATTTTTCAGGTGAACAAAACTGAACTAAACTATAAACGTCAGACTTCAAAAATTTCCCCCTCTGGTAGAAAGGATTGGTTTTGCTTGGACCCAAAGAGCAGAATTAGGAACAAGGAGTGGTAATTGTAAAGATACCAAATTCAGCTAGGTTTAAGGAAAAGCCTCTTACTAGCTGTTGGAAAGGGAAATGGCCTGCTGCCTTTGAAGGCTGTGGATAACTTGTGACTAGAGGTTCTCAAGTCAAAAGTGTGTGATTAGATGAATACTTGAGGATAATTGTGGGCAAAATTCTTGCTCAGTCATGAGCTGGGCTAGCTGATCTCTGAAATCACTTCTGGGTCTATAATTCTATGGAAGTTTGCTCATTTCATAGGATAGTTATAAGAATTACCTGCAGAGTGACAGAGACCCTGCAGAGAGATATGGCCTTGGAGCCTGGAAGAGGAAGGGGTCAGACTCTCATCTCAAACACATGCTGGCTATGTGACCTGAACAAGTTCTTTAACCTCTCTGAGCCCAAGCAACTCCTTAAGACTCTAAATGCAGAGAAGGTACTAATCAGGTAGAGGAGTTCTTCCTAGGACCACCCTCCACACAAAAGAAATCACAGGCCCAGGAAAAAAGAAAAGAAAATCTCATTTCACCAACTGATACTTTCCAGAAAAGTTGGCTATAAATCATGCTTATATTAATCAAATTATATTAATCAAATAATCTTTCAGCACAACTAGCTTTCTATTTAAATTAATTCTGCACTGTCAGTTGGAAAAGCAAGGAGCCATTTCTTAGCTCTGTAATAACTTTTTTTGGGGAGCTGGGTTTTCTTATAGAGAGACACAACTTTATAATTCATAGGGTCCCAGATTTGGAAGGCACCTCAGTGCCAGCTTTCTAGTTCAACTCTTCCCTTGTCAACATATTTGACAAATGGTCATTCAGCCTTTATTTGTAGATCTCTGAGGAAGGGTAGCATACCTCTCAAAGCCTCTCAGTCCACATTTGGACAGCTCAAATTGTTAGGAAGTTTTCTCCTGCACCAAATAGAAATTTGCTTCTTTGAAGCTACCATCCATTACTTGTAGATACATCAAATATATAAGAAGGCTTCATAAAGCTATTCTGCAAGCTAAATTCTCTCCTCGCCTTCCAAATATACCTGGTCCCTTCAATTAATCCTTGTATGACATAAACCCAAGGCTCCTCACCATCTTCATTGCCCTCCTCCAGATAAACTATAAATTACCAATATCCATCCTAAGATGTGTCACTCAGAACTGAACCCATTTTCCAGACAGAGTCAAAGAAGATGAGAGGATATCACCTACCAAGGGTGCTTCTCTTTTCCAATAACTAGTATATGTGTGTCCTCCAGGGTACCAGTTGGAGGAGATAGAAATATACTCGAGGCATGCGGGATAGCCTGGGGAAAGGTAGGAGAGGTCATGCTGAGTTTGGGGAACAGAGTGAATGAAACAGAGTTAAAAGAAATTGTCCTGAAAGGAGAGCTTGGAGCCAGATTATAATTGGTTTTAAATACCAAGCTGAGCAGTTTCTATTTTATCCTAGAGGTAATAAGGAACACTTGAAAGTTCAGGAACAGGGGAGTGACATAGTTGGACTTGTGTTTTAGGAAGACTATTTTGGCAACTTGATGAAGAATGGATGAGAGAAAGGAATTCAATTTGGAGAGAATCACAATAATCCAAGTGAAAGATCATGAAAGCCTGAGCTAGGACGGTGATCAAATGATTGGAGGGAGGGAAATGAACACAGATAAGACATGGCTATTGATTGAACATGAGCACAGATAAGAGATGGTTACTGATTGGACATGGAAGGGTGGAAGAGGGGTGTTGAGGGAGAGAGTGAAAAATGGAGGTTGAGTCCAAAGTTGTGAACCAGAAGGAATGGAAGGATGATGGTGCCCTATACAAAAATAGAGAAGTTTGTATAGATTTAGAGAGAAAGATAGTGAGTTCTGGTTTGGCTGTATTAAATTCACATGCTTACACAGTTGCTACGGTACTAGTCGCTGCTCCTGCTTGATCAAGTCTGTGTATAGTTTCCCTTCCCCCTCATTTGTATGTTCCTGATCTTATATGATGAAGGACACAGGTTTGAAAAATTGCTGTACTAACAATGAATGTGTCCAAATTTTTACACATCTCTTCCAACATCTGTCACTTTCCCCTTCAATCATTTTAACCAATCTGGTAGGTGTAAAATGATATCTCAAGGTTGTTTTAATTTGCATTTTTCTAATTAATAATGGTTTAGAGCATTTTTTTCATATAACTACAAATTTCTTCATTGGAAAACTTCCTGTTCATATCTTTGACCACTTATCAATTGGGGAATGACTCATATACTTATAGATTTGACAAAGTTCTTAATATATTTGAGATATGAGACCTTTATCTGAGAAACTGAACTTGTGTTTGGGGCTATATAATGTTTAAATTGGATCATCTCCATCAGATGGACTGCCCACAAATATTTAATAATGCAATCAAAAAGGCGGAATGGACTGAAAAAAAATCTCAGGTTTACTTATTCTATCTAGATACGACCCAAGAGGATTATGACATTAAAAACCATTTATTGTTTATGGCATGAGATTAGGTTCTATGTGGCATAAATTAACAAGCTTGGTTGACGTAATGAATGCTTTATTTACTACAACAAAATATCAGCAACAAAATGAAAAGGCAATTCATGTAGCTGTATTGGTAGCAAAAGAGAGAAGATAGTTTACTTTAAGAGAATAACAACCAGCAATTTTTAAGAAATGCCTAATCATACAAACTACCATAGTCTTGGAGATCACAGGGGAAAAAAGGTAAAGTAAATAAAGTGATTTTTCATGTCAATCCAACATGTTGTGCCTCCCTGAAGCACCAGTGAGCTTGACACTGAGAATACATATCTAAAGTAGAGATATTCAATTTCTTCCTCTTAGCACAGTCTTCTAAGCTCTCCTCTGGTACAAGACCTTTGACAACACTTAATTGATAATAAATCGGACTTGCCTCTCCTTATCCGGGGATGTGTCCCCCTCATGAAGTCATATTGTCTCAAAGGACTGATGACTTTGATTTCATTTTTGTTTTTTTCAATAGCTTCCTTGAATTCATCAGGACCTATCATGAACTCTTCCATTGTGGGGATGGAGTCTTCAGTGTGACCATATAAATTAAGTACATTCTTCAAATCCTGGCCTCCTTTCAACAGAGGAATCTGCCCCTCCTTCCAACCAGAAATGACCTCTGCATCTAGCTTTCCATTGTCCACATCTGTGTGAATAAAGAATGAGAAAGATTCTGTTACGTTAGAGAGAAAAAAGTCATGAAGTGGGAAACATTTTTACAACAACCTAAATCAGTCAAGGGGCAGCTTAGGTGGTACAGTGAGTAGAGAGCTAGACTTGGAACCAGAAAGACTCATCTTCAAAAGTTCAAATCTGGATTCAAACACTTACTAGCTCTGTGACCTTGGACAAGTCACTTAACAGTTTGCCTCAGTTCCTCATCTGTAAAAGGAGCTGGAAAAGGAAATGACAAACCACTCCAGTATCTCCTCCAGGAAAGTCCCAAATGACAGAGTCAGACACAAGTGAAAAACAACTGAACAGCAAATAAGTCAAAGTTTTTAAAACCTACATGGGGTCAAGAGGGGGAGGGGGCAGGGAAGCATTTTTGTTAGACAGAATAACAAAACAGTAAAACAAGATGAACAACATTTTGTCCCATTTTAAGTCAGGCACCTTAAGATACTGTAAATAACCATACCCTTGGTACAATTCATCTCCTTTTCCATCTCCTCCTGCCTCCCCCTTAACCCTCCCAGTTGCCTCATGCTATGTTTTATTTGGCCTTCTAAATGAGTGCTTTTTAAAAGTCAGGAACAGCCTGTACAAAATTGGTCTTTTTTTTTTTAAGGAGAAATAATAACACAAGGTGCATCCTAGGAATTTGTACATAATTCCATTATCCATGTTGATGGAGGTATTGACGGTGAAGATACTATGCAATATTGGTACCCAAATTCTTTATATTTTTGAAATGGATTACACATTTTGATATTTATTCAATTGAATCATTTGGCAAACATTTGTTGGGCATCTCCTATTGTCTAGGCCAACTACTTTCTCCACTCGAGGTGCACTTAGTGTCTCAGTAATTCTTTTCATGATCCCTTTAGATCCTAAGAGTCTCTTTATCAACTAGTTAGGTTGAGAATTTTAAATATCCAACCATGCCCCTGTGAGGGCACCATGGATCACAGTTTGGTGATCTCTGGTTTAGGCATTATATTAGGTTCTGTGAAAGACACAGAAATCTGTAAGGAGTAGTCTCTGTCCTCAAAAGCCTCACATTTTGTTCCAGTTTTACCTTCATAAGTCATAGTCTACCTTGGGTTTGGTTTTTATTTTTATTTCTATTTTTTACTTTTTAAACTTTCTTTATTTTTCTTATTTTTTTGTCTGTTTTTTGCAATATGGATAATATGCAAATATGTTTTAATGACTTCTCATGTGTAATCTATGTCAAATTGCTTGCCTTCTTTTTTTTTTTTTGCTTTTTGGTGAGGCAATCGGGGTTAAATGACTGACCCAGGGTCACACAGCTAGTAAGTGTCAAGTGTCTGAGGCTGGATTTGAAAGCAGGTCCTCCTGACCCCAAGGCCAGACTCTATCCACTGCACCACCTAGCTGCCCCCTTTGCCTTTTCAAGGAGAGGGTAGAGGAGGGAGGGAAAGAAAAAACTTGGAACCCAACTTTTAAAAAACAAATGTTAAAAATGTTTTACATGCAATTGAGAAAAAAATATATAATAAGACTTTTTAAAAAAGATATAAGCCATGATTTGGAAGTTCCAACTTACAAACGAGTTGTATTACAAAAATTCATTTGTAAGTTGGTTGTTTGGAACTTGGAATACAGTTTCTCATAGAAACAACACTGTACATGGTGGTTAAAGTGCTAGGCTAGCCCCCAAAAGCCTATTTAATCTGTAATGTAGATGAAATAAAGTACTAATAGGAACATATAGTCTAACCATCATGTATAACAATGTCTTCATGAAAAAAAAATTAATTCAAAGTTCCAACTTGGGATGGGTCAGCTAGGTGGCACAGTGGATAGAGCACCAGCCCTGAAGTCAGGAGGACCTGAGTTCAAATGTGGCCTCAGACCAAACACTTGACACTTACTAGCTGTGTGACCTTGGGCAAGTCACTGAAACCCAATTGCCTAAAAATTAAAAAAACAAAACAAAACAAAAGTTCCCACTTGGGAAGCCAGGAACATATCTCAACACCACTATTGCCCTCCCCCATCCTCTATTCCCTCAATCCTGGCAGCAGACACAAGAATTTCTCCTTCCTCTCATTCCTTCCCTTCTCCCAGCCAGTAGTAGGGAGGATTTCTCTCCCTCTTCCAGGCAGCTGGAGGTAGCTTATTGCCTTGTGGCAGGTATTCTGATAGATTAGGAGCTGAGTGAGGATTGAGGACAGGGTCTCCAATGAGGCCCTAATAACAATAAAAATTATGATGATGATGATAATTTACATTCATATGGTGTTTTTAGATTTGCAAGGTCAAATATATATATATATATATATATATACATTCATGTATACATATGCATATATCTATTGTGTGTGTGAATATATATACATATATACACATATATTCTTATTTTATCCTCACAACTAGATGCTAGGGATACCTTTCTAGACCAGTGTCTGGGAAAAGAGAGGCAATAAGAAATTTGTAAAAAAGGAGACAAGAGTCCTTGCTTTGGTGAAGGAGGGACTGGGAAGCCACATGAAGAGTAGCAGAAAAGGTTTTCACTTCTTTTCCTTTAATTTTCCTTTCTTTTACTATTCATTAAAACCACGACTGGGAGAATATTAGGAGTAGGATCGAGTGAAATGATGGGAAGAGCAAAGCTGTAAGGTCCATCACCATCTTTTGTTTCCTCTCCTCCTTACTCTTCTCTCTTCTGCTCCCTTTTCTTCCCAATTATTTTTATTTTCTAAGCGTGTTCTCATGTGCTGATCACAGAGTATCTATGGAGCCATGGAAGGTGCTAAATTTGCTTGGCAGTCAGAGAGAAATTTCCAAGAGAAAAAAATGATAATATGGATGACAGTTGATCCACATATTGAATGATGCCCCAATAGGTAATTGAAGTAGCTGAACTGGGTTTTCCTTCTAAACTCAATTTGGATTCTGAATACTACCTCAGGTTACTATGACTCCACACAGGAAGTTCATTCAGACAGGGAACAGTCCTATTTCCTTTAAATCTCTTGTCATGTAATTGCTACTATGTGATAGTCACTTCAAATTTTACATAAATATATATAAAACACCGTTGTTTGTAGGTTGCCTCTGCCATTAAACTGCAAGTCTCTTGAGGGCAGGGATTGGTTTTGCCTTTTTTTTTTTGTATCCCCATTGCTTGGAGAATAGTAAATGCTTGATAAACAAACCCTTGTGGGCTTGACATGGGCTTAGAAGGCTCTCTGCCACACAGACAGCATGGTGGCTGGTCCAGTTTCCAAGGAGTTTTATGGCAAGATTCCTGGTCTGCCCTCCATGAGCACCTTCTTCTTCCCCAACCAAAATCCAAAGTAGCTGATGGTCAGGCATATAGGATGGGGTTTTTAGGGTTGAGAAATGCCTTAGTGTGCTGCCTCAAACCCCAGATCTTAAACCATCCCTGATCAATGCAAATCTATCCTGATTTTTATTAGCCCTCTAAAGAAAGATTTCCCAGTTTTTCTCAGTAACCCATTCTAATGTTCAACTTCATTGTCATAAAATTCTTCCTTAAATCTAACCTGCATCTGTCATACTGTAGCTTTAACTCATTATCTCTGGTTCCCACCTAACAAAGACTAAATGTAACCATCTTCCACCCTTCACAATATACTTAAAGCTAATTGAATAACCTCTCATACAACTTTGCTCCAAGTCAAATGATTTTAATTTCTGAAGCTTTTACTTGTAGGCTTTCTTGTCCCACTCTTTCATCATATCCATTGTTTTCTTCTGAGCCCACTCCAAGAACATCCCACAGAAATTCTGGTTTCTGCAAGAGAACAACATATTCCAGTGGGATTCTATCTAGTCATGAATTCAAAGGATAATCTCATAAAAATTTTTAAAAAATATTTTTACCACAAAACCACATCCATTTCTGGTCCACTAATTTGGAATGTGCAAGACTCAGTAACTAGTACCTCTTTGATCAGTCATATCCAACTCTTCATGGCCCCATTTGGGGTTTTCTTGGCAAAGATACTGTAGTGGTTTTTCCATTTCCTTCTCCAGCTCATTTTTATGGATGAGGAAACTGAGGCAAACAGAGTTAAGTGACTTGCCTAGAGGCAAATTCCAATGAGGCCCTAATAACAATAACCTTTGGATTTGCCTTTGGATTTTGGTTGGGAAAGAAGAAGAAGAAGGTGCTCATGGAGGACATTCCATGCCACCTAGCTGCCCATTTGAACCTCTACTTTCTATTTTAAAAAGTCCCCCCCAACTCCCACAAATTAAAAATGTAAATGCATACAAACTACTTAAGAAAAGCTGTTTTAAAGCACTTTTAAAGTTGTGCTAATTAGAAACATTTTTATCTAGTCATTAAAGTTAGCCCCTTAAGGGGCTTCTCTAGGCAACATTTTATTAGACTAGCTTAACTGTCCTTTAACTTACTGAAACTATATTTGTAATGCTTTATAATTTATAATTTCAGACATTTTACTAATGCAGACTAGGCTTTTCTTCCCCAATTGCTTTGAATTAGAGAAGCTTTATTGAATCCATCTATTCACGTTTCAAGTTTAAAATCCTACTGTAACACCTAATTATGGTAACTTTTTACTTTCCCTTTCATTTTTAATTGACCATCAAAGAAACACAAGGGCAGAGGTATCATGGTAGTGTAAAGAATACAGGAGTCAAAGGATCTGGGTTCAAATCCTAGTTCTGGCTCTTTCTACCTTTGTGACCTAGGGTGAACCACTTAATCTCCCTGGTCCTCAATTTTCTTCTCTGTAAAACAAAAGACTTGAACTAGATAGTTTCTGGGGGTCCTTCTATCTTTTGCATACACGCACCTATAAATTGGGAAGAAGATATGAATCTCAATAACACAAAAGCTGAGCAGGAAGCAGAGAAGTTATAGATTACAGTCTGGCATGTATTCATACCCTTAGACTAGGGAGAAACCCAGGCCATGGCACTAACAGGAAAAGCCCCATCAGGGGCCATCCTTGACTG